CTTGTATATTGAAAAACAAAGAAAACAGAACCATCACCACACATGGACGATATGCCTGGACATAGTATATTCTTGGCTAAAATGTATATTTATTTCTTTTTTTTTCTTCTTTTGAAATAGTATATAAAGCGTGTCGTTTACAGTCTTCTTTATAATTCTCTTTCAAGTCTACACAAGTAAGATACACTCACAACTTATTTATTATTTTACATCGAACACAAATCAAATTTTAATTTAAATCATAAGGTAAGTACACTTGTTTAGCATCGATACTTTCAGAGCTTCTTGAGAATAAGATAGTTCTGTGAGATTTATCTTGTATGAGCATGTTTACGAAATAATGGCCTTTCGCAGGTAGAAGTGGCAGGGAGGAAGCATGAGAAGCCAAAGTACTTTTCAAAAGGAGAAACAGTTTAGTATTTGACATTTGTATTCTTGTCGAACATTTCTCTTGTAGCTATTGAGAAGAGACGACTTGCATCCTTTCTAAATTTTCTACACGTACTATCACATCCTTCTCGCATATCCAACTAACTAATCATGTTTCTCTGTTTTTTAGCTTAGTTCGTCACCATCGTTCTATAAAAATGTCTCGATCAGTATTATTAGTAATTGTATTGGCTATTTGCTGTTGTTCATTATTATGTATGGCCGTTCCAATTTCTGATACGGAATCAAAAACAACTGCATCGTTTAGTGTTAATAGTGGTATTAGTACACCATCTGAAGGTGATCGTGAACAAAAAGAAAATAAGAATGAAAATGAATTAAATAGAACAACAGCAAGTACATTTCTAGCATCAACGACAATGAAATCAAGTGACGAAGAACAACGTGAAGAACAATCACCAGATGGAAAGTTAGAAACATCAACAGGTAGACGTGTTCAACGATCTGATGGTGACTCAAGACCGGCATGGTTGTAGACGAAGACAATAATAAGCAATACAAACAATAAAAAAGACGAATTTTTATTTAATGAAAGAGAATGTGTATCTGATTTTCTTAATATAATCTAATTAATCTAATGTGTGTGCTCAAAATATATTTCCGTTGTATGCTTTTATTTACTTAAATAAAGTTTTATACACCACAAATGAATTTTACAAAATAAGGAAGAAGAAATATTGCTGGTAGAAAACTGCCTTTTGGTTCTACCCAAAAAGCAGGAGAACATTTCGCTTTTGAGGGATTAAACGATCTAGTCGAAGTCATTGGAAGATCCGTTACTTTCATCTGTCGATGAGCAATCTTGAAATGATTTGTATCGGATATTTATTTGGCTGGATAAAAGAGAATTATGATGAATCATGTTTGTCTGCTAAAGGAAGTTATGGTGAATAACAACTGATGAGATAAAAAGGAATCCTAACAATATTGCCGTAGGTCTTATAATTGAAGAAAAAAGAAAGCCCTTTTTCTTTGTAGTCTTAAACAATAAATAACGAAATATAAGTTCTAAATCTAATAGATAAAAGGAAAAACTGAAATGTTAATTGAATCATTTTAAGTGAAGAATTTCAAAATTGATAATAAGACTAATACCACCTTATACATAGTGAAGTTACTCGTTCACTTGGGACTAGTTTCGTCTTTATTCAAAACACATCATCAGTCAAATGATGACAAAAAACTTTTCCTCTCCTTCAAGCATAGAAGAAAATTAAGCACATGTCTACAATACAACAGAAAAACATAATATAGTTCATTATTAAGTCGTACATGACATGATCTATCATCAGAAGACGTTTGAAATAAAGTTTTCCGAGAATAAACATTTTGACTTTTCTTTTTAGTGTACATATCCATGCGTAAACTTTCTTTTATCTCTCCTCTTATTGCATGAGATTCAAAAGCAAGAATTTCGGTGTTAGCTAACCATGATCTCTAACTACTGGTAATAGAGCAAAGTAGAACACTGGATTTCATTGTCATTGCTTTTGAATCTCATGTAATAAGAGGAGAGACAAAAAAAGTTTAGGTATGGATATGTACACTAAAAAGAAAAGTCAAAATATTTATTCTCGAAAAACGTTTATTCAGAACGTTTTTTTGATGACGCATCATGTCATGTACGAGTTAATAATGGACTATTATATGGTATATTTTTCTGTTGTGTTCTAGACATGTGCTTCTTTATCTTCTTTGCTTAAAGGAGAGTAAAAGTTTTTTGTCATCATTTGACTGATGATGTGTTTTGAATAAAGACGAAACTAGTCCCAAGTGAAACAGTAACTTCACTATGCATAAGGTGGCGTTAGTCTCATTATCGATTAAGAAATGATACCTTGTCATTTTCTACAACACTTCTTTGTCATTTAACGGTGTTGTGTTTGTAAGTGTGCTTTGTGTACTATTGTTTTCATGAAAAAATGTTATCAAAGTAGTACTACTTTCTTTCATTATTATTAGTTCAGATGAACTTATTCTTTTCTGGTGTTTCCTTCTACGTATAGTTTTGAATTCTACGTTTTTGTTATGCACTATTGTCTGTGTTTCACATAGTAAAATAGTTTTCTTTTGCTACTTTTACATTATGAGACAGTTTGCGTGGGTACTTCAAATAAAATATAGTAGAGATTTACAGAAAGATTCACTTTATTCCTTTTTAAAAGTACTGACAGAGCTAAGAATAGTTTACTATAGACTTGCTGCAGAAACACTTTCGTCATATTTACAGTACTGCGTTTTTTGAACTAAAAAAGTAGAATATTTATATATTATCAATATAATATCACTAAATATTATTAGAAATATGAGTCGTTTTTCCTATTGTAGACGTACCCCGTTAAGAAGTCATACTGGACTTACCTGATGTACGATCTAAGACTAATGTACAACTGATTAACAATCGGACTTGTATTGCTTTTTATTGCAAGTGAAAAACTCATACAGAATATCTTTTACCGGAGTTGATCGAGGGAAATTTATCCGGAAATTTTACGTACTTTTAAATCCGGATGAAATTACATCAGGGTGGAGTTGCATGGACGCGTAGTCTTTCTGGTCTTTAAAACATCCGGATTTCATGACACTTCCCGGATGAAGCATAGGACCAATTATCATACGGTGCCGCACCCCATTACCTTTGGAAAATTTTTCATTTAAATTTGGATAATGGACGATAGTGATAAGGAAGAAACGTAAAGTTCCACTACTCTGCCGTGGAGTATGGGGCTTAAGAAGTATTGATTTGCATCATTTTATTTACATGTGTGTACTTTAGGTTCAATGATTAATGAAAGTCAACAACTCGACCTAGCTAGACTATGCTCTCAAGTTCTCACTAAGTCACTTTGTTGTGACTAGTCTGAGTAAATTTGAGAGAGTTCTTTTTTATTGATAGTCATATGAGTTGTTGAGCTCACCCAAATGTGGAAAACACGGGTGAGAAAGAATGAAAAAGACCAAGATTACATTAAGACAAACGGGAGCCATAAACTAGAGTCCTGCAGGTTACGACTTTTTGACAACCCATAATCTAACCTACAAATATGTTCACAACTTAAACCTAACCTAACCTATTAATGTTTTCCTTGACCTAACCTAGGTTAACCTAATACAACCTTTTGCACTTTTTTCCCAAAACCTGGTTTCAGAAGCCCAAACTTCAGCGTTTGTTCCATATCGTTATTGCTTTTCATCTAAACACCGTCTGAAAGATAACCTTATACAAAATAAATCACATTTTACATTAATATAGAAATGAATCGGTTGAGTCTTTTATTCTTTAATGTAATCTTTGAAAAATAGCTTTCTGAATAGGGAAACCCTCTTAAGAGTAGACCAGAATTTCACTTTATGCTCTCGATGCTATGAAGATTCTGTTATTGTTATATATTCGCCATCTATCTTTAGCAAACGTAAGTTTTTCTCTGACTTTCTTTTTTGACTGTGCTATTTTGCAGTTTAAAAATAGTTTAGTTTAAACTAGCGAACCTCGGTTTGATTTATCCTCAATCAATAAAATTCCACTCGGACTACGCTTTATTACTCAAAGTGTTGGCTGTCTTAAAGTGGTCGTTCAAAATCGGTTTTTTTTCCTTTAGGTTAAAAATAAGCTAGCAATGGCGTAACCTACAACCTAACCTATAAAACATTTCATAAACTAAGCCTAACCTAACCTATAGGTTAGGTTAAGTTTAACCTGCAGGACTCTATCGTAAACCATAATCTGGAGTAAATGTAATGTACTTTACGTAGTGAAGTAATTATTGAAAGGAGGGAGTAATAAGTAGAATAATGTTCAAAATCTAAGTAGTTTTAACAGTCACAAAAAAACAGGTTTCATCGTAACGATCGAGGCTCAACAAGGTGACTGAGATGTGCGAGTAAATCACCAGTTTCAATTGATAAAACTTCTGCTTCCTTTAGACTATTCTCATCCTCATCAGACCATTGGTGATTAGTATTAATAACAGTTTCTTTCCGTGTCTGAAGATTAATAAACTCGCGGTAACTGAAAGCGGACACTACAAACGTAGAAGGAATCGTGCTACTTTTTAGTGCTTGTTCTATTCTATAACTTTAAACTTACTTTAACTTTAAATATAACTTTAACTAAAAATCAAATAATGTCATTAAAGAACCATCTTCTACGTCTCTTAAATCTAATTCAATGTGATGAAAGTAATTTCGACTCCTCTTCAATAAATTCGGAGGATGAAGTTGATTTTGCTACTGCTGATGAATACGAAACATCGGGCACAATTATTAACATGGGGTTATCTGATGAAAGTGATCATTATTCAAATGGTTCAAATACTGAAAGTGAAGGAGAAGAACCTGAGACGGATCCTGTTACTTCGTCCAGCTAGTCGTTCGAGCTCTGAACAGTAAAGGAAAAGTTGACCTCAATAGAAGACCACCCTCAAAGTTTTAACTTGCCGGACAAAATAAAAGACCATCTGCTCTTCTATTGCGGGGGGGGGTTTAGCAGCCATTATACAAGGCTACTAACGTCTCATTTTTGCCAATCTTGCATAAAGAAAATGAAAATGGGGTAGTCAGTTTTGCGTGTTTGTCAAAAATGATTTGTCGAAAAAAGAGTTTAAAAACCTTGTCAGGGCAATCGAGACGTTGTCACCAGTTTAAGACAACGTGACCACCAGGAGGAAAAGTTAAAAAAGTGCCCAGACTCAAGGGTTTTCCAGTCTATACTTCAACTCTTCTTTCTTTCGGAGATATAGGAGTCTCACAAAAAAACAATTTTTTAAGTATTTCTCAAAAAGCATTCTTTATATACAAAAACAAAATACACTATTTCG